ACTACAACTACCATCTGCCATAGTGGCTGACAGTTTGTAGTTCTCAATGAACTGCAAGGGCACTGGTGAGTGCCTTCATAGTACATTGACTCTTCCTGCTCTCAGGTAACTGTCTTCCCGTATCAGAGGTACAGGCTCTGCCTCTCTCTTTGTACTGATTAGGGGGAGAGGGTTCTGCCCACATGGCTGCATCATAGTGGCTGACAGTTTGTAGTTCTCAATGAACTGCAAGGGCGCTAGAGAGTGCCTTTGTAATACATTGACTCTTCCTGCTCTCAGGTAACTGCCTGCCCTTTATAAGAGGTACAGGCTCTGCCTCTCTCTTTGTACTGATTAAAAAACGGGGGAAGGCTCTGCCAACATGGCCCCGTCGTAGTGGCTGACGGTTTGAAGTTCTCAATGAACTGCAAGGGCATTGGTGAGTGCTTTCGTAATACATGGACTCTTCCTGCTCTCAGGTAACTGCCTGCCCATATAGAAGGTACAGGCTCTGCCTCTCTTTTTGTACTGATTATAAAAGGGGGGAAGGCTCTGCCAACATGGCCGCGTCATAGTGGCTGATGGTTTGTAGTTCTCAATGAACAGCAAAGGCATTAGTGTGTGCCTTCGTAATACATTGGCTTTTCCTGCTCTCAGGTAAATGCCTGCCCATATAGGAGGTACAGGCTCTGCTCCTCTCTTTGTACTGATTATAAAAGGGGGAAAGGCTCTGCCCACATGGCCGCATCATAGTGGCTGACGGTTTGTAGTTCTCAATGAACAGAAAAGGCGCTGGTGAGTGCTTTCGTAATACATTGACTCTTCCTGCTCTCAGGTAACTGCCTGCCCATATAGGAGGTACAGGCTCTGCCTCTCTTTGTACTGATTATAAAAGGGGGGAGGGCTCTGCCCACATGACGTGTCTTTCATTCACCGTTTCCTGTGAATGAACTACAACTACCATCTTCCATAGTGGCTGACAGTTTGTAGTTCTCAATGAACTGCAAGGGCACTGGTGAGTGCCTTCATAGTACATTGACTCTTCCTGCTCTCAGGTAACTTTCTTCCCGTATCAGAGGTACAGGCTCTGCCTCTCTCTTTGTACTGATTATAAAAGGGGAGAGGGTTCTGCCCACATGGCTGCATCATAGTGGCTGACAGTTTGTAGTTCTCAATGAACTGCAAGGGCGCTAGAGAGTGCCTTCATAATACATTGACTCTTCCTGCTCTCAGGTAACTGCCTGCCCATATAGGAGATACAGGCTCTGCCTCTCTCTTTGTACTGATTATAAAAGGGGGGAGGGCTCTGCCAACCTGGCCACGTCATAGTGGCTGACAGTTTGTAGTTCTCAATGAACTGCAAGGGCACTGGTGAGTGCCTTCATAGTACATTGACTCTGCCTGCTCTCGGGTAACTGTCTGCCCGTATCAGAGGTACAGGCTTTGCCTCTCTCTTTGTACTGATTATAAAAGGGGAGAGGGCTCTGCCAACCTGGCCACATCATAGTGGCTGACGGTTTGTAGTTCTCAATGAACAGAAAAGGTGCTGGTGAGTGCCTTCGTAATACATTGACTCTTCCTGCTCTCAGATAAATGCCTGACCATATAGGAGGTACAGGCTCTGCCTCTCTCTTTGTACTGATTATAAAAGGGGGGAAGGCTCTGCCCACATGGCCGCATCATAGTGGCTGACAGTTTGTAGTTCTCAATGAACAGCAAAGGCACTAGTGAGTGCCTTCGTAATACATTGACTCTTCCTGCTCTCAGGTAACTGTCTGCCCGTATCAGAGGCACAGGCTCTGCCTCTCTCTTTGTACTGATTATAAAAGGGGGGAAGACTCTGCCACACCGTCTGCTGCATGTGAAAGAAGGCACAGAAAGCCAGCAAGATGTGTCATCCCTGTTTCCGATTCCACAATGTAGGGGGATTGCTGGCACCTGCCACTATGGACTTTTCCCTGCCATGGACTTCACCTGTGCAGGTATGCTGGGGAAGCCACAAGCCTAGGTTAGGGATGATGGACGTTAGAAAAAGTCTGTGCACTTTGTTCTGTTACACTAAGAATTTTTAGTAAAGCTTTTGAAACGGTGTCCTTTGCCTGGTCTGAAGTTGCTAAAGGCATGTATGCAAGTAACCGGCACATTCTGCACTTAGTCTACAACTTGGCCAGTAGAGCACATCGTGTGCTTGGGACAGCCTCTTGAAGAGAGGGAGTTGTTGTTGGCACTCTCTCCATGAGCAGTCTGTCTCCTATAGCAATGGGAGAAGATCAGCGCCGCAGAGGGGTCCCAGCCTGTGCAAAGCTACGGAAGAGGAAGAGTTAATACAGAGAACACATGGAATCAGTGCTAAGAGCTAGGTGGGGGTTCCATTCCATTACTGGTAGTCAGGACTGCTGTTAGAAACCAAGGGGTCCAGCCAACCTGACAGGGCCCCCCAAAACAAAACACTGTTTACTATGCTTCAGTTATGAATGAACACAGTGAATGATCAGTACTGATCACTTTCCTTCTTGAAGGATCCTACTGTGTGTTGGCAGCTGCTGGTGGAAAGCAGAGAATGGAAGCCATCAGCACTGCAGGGATAGTGGTTTGGGCAGCAGAGGGAACCATATCTCCCTGCCCACATCTGATTTACTTGGGCCCCCCTTCTCACCTGGGCCCCATACAGCAGGACTGGTGATACCCCCTTATCCACGATCCTGCTGGTAGTGAGGTATCGGAGATAGGCTGGACAGGTGGAGAGGCTATAGGTTCAGTGCGTCCCACCTAAATGCAACAGAGGCAGTACAGTGTACATTGACACTGGGATGAGAGAGTGAATGGGGGTACAGTGTATTGTTCAAGTGTACAAGATGCACGGCCATCCACAGTATAATGTTCAAGGTCTGCCTTAAGGTCGAGTTTTCCCTGAAAGTGGCCTTAGCTTTGTTTTCAATAAAGGTACCCCATGTACCAGGGAACTGACCCCATTCAAAGGTGCCTAGCATAGCCCAGAAGAACCCAGGGGTAGGTCTCCCATGTGATCCACACTTGGCGCCCAAGGAGGAGGGGAACATGGAGGGTACGTCACCTGCCTGCCTTATAAAGAAGAAAGACGATCTTGTGGTTGGAGGTGGTGATGGCGCAGAGGAGGAATTACGGGTGGAATGATAGATGGGTCTATGGACTAATGGACTTATCATTGGAGTATACTACAGACGTCCTGAGGTCTATGGGAAGGGGGAGAGTCGGCTGTTCCAACAAGGTGATAGTGCGGAGGAGGAATTACGGGAGGAATGATAGACGGGTCTATGGACTAATGGACTTATCATTGGAGTATACTACAGACGGCCTGAGATGTATTCATGCTGATCCTCATGATGGATTGCAAAAAGATGGAGGGGGGTTTCTCTATGTTGGATATGATGTGAGAGTGAGGAGGAAAGATGATCTTATGGTTGGAGGTGGTGATGGTGCAGAGGAGGAATTACAGGTGGAATGATAGATGGGTCTATGGACTGATGGACTTCCAACCACTACAGACATCCTGAGGTTTATGAGGAGGGTGAGAGTCAACAACCAATGTGTCTCTTATCTGGTAGAAAAGGAATAAAAGGAAATAATCCAAATCCAAAGTCAAACTTTTATTCATCAATTTACAAAGAATATAATCACTTTAGGTAGAAGGATGGACTTTAGTCTTTGTTAGGCTACGCTTTGCACAGGTCAGTGTTGCAGGTGAAATATACAACCCGTCACATTCTGCTCCTCCCGCTCTTGTCATTTAGTCCGATCCCTCCCGCTCTCGTCATTTAGTCCGATCCCTCCCGCTCTCATTATTAGTCCGATCCCTCATGCTCTCGTCATTTAGTCCGATCCCTCCTGCTCTCATCAGGTAGTCCGATCCCTCCTGCTCTCGTCATTTAGTCCGATCCCTCCCGCTCTCGTCATTTAGTCCGATCCCTCCCGATCTCGTTATTAGTCCGATCCCTCATGCTCTCGTCATTTAGTCCGATCCCTCCCGCTCTCATCAGGTAGTCCGATCCCTGCCGCTCTCGTCATTTAGTCCGATCCCTCCCGCTCTCGTCAGTTAGTCCGATCCCTCCCGCTCTCGTCAGTTACTCCGATCCCTCCCGCTCTCGTCATTTAGTCCGATCCCTCATGCTCTCGTCATTTAGTCCGATCCCTCCCGCTCTCGTCATTTAGTCCGATCCCTACCGCTCCTGTCATTTAGTCCGATCCCTCACGCTCTTATTATGTAGTCCGATCCCTCAAGCTCTTATCATGTAGTCCGATCCCTCACGCTCTTATCATGTAGTCCGATCCCTCACGCTCTTATCATGTAGTCCGATCCCTCACGCTCTTATCATGTAGTCCGATCCCTCACGCTCTTATCATGTAGTCCGATCCCTCAAGCTCTTATCATGTAGTCCGATCCCTCACGCTCTTATCATGTAGTCCGATCCCTCAAGCTCTTATCATGTAGTTTGATCCCTCACGCTCTTGTCATTTAGTCTGATCCCTTCCGCTCGTCATTTAGTCTGATCCCTCTTGCTCTACATCCGCAAGGAACATCTTGCATCTCTCACCAGAATTTCCTTTATAGCTTCTACTGAAAATCAGGCTACACTGCAGGAGGGACTCAACCAATGACATGCCCTCTTCCCCCCCCCCCCCCCCCCCCCCCCCTCTAATGTTTTGGTAATCTCCAAATTATTTCTGTTTTCTATGAGAAGATTAGAGAAGAGTTCAGCCGCATTCCTTAAGGTGTGCTTCTTCTTCTCAGTGTGTGACACACAGAAAAATACAAATCAAGTAGAAGACATTTCCCGCACCCTCGGACACTGATATAGCCTAAGGGTTTGTGTGGGGTTCTCAGACGCTTGGCAAGACTCCACTGCTTTCAAAAACATTTCCTGCACTTGTGGCAGGACTTCTCTTCGGAGGCTTTTCCCCCGTGTGACATCTCTGATGCCGAATAAGATCTGCCTTACGTACAAAACGCTTCTGGCACTCAGAGCAGGAAAACGGCTTCTCCCCCGCATGACATAGCTGATGTACTGAAAGATTGGACTTCCCTGAAAAACATTTCCCGCACTCAGGGCAGGAATACGGCTTCTCCCCAGTGTGAGATCTCTGATGTTTGACGAGCGATGATTTCATTGTATAGCACTGCCCACAGTCAGGACAGGAGTATGGTCTTTCCCCCGTGTGAGATCTTTGATGTGTGACAAGTTCTGATTTCCGTGGATAACATTTCCCGCACTCGGGGCAAGAATATGGCTTCATGCCTGAGTGGGACCTCAGATGTACGTAAAGATTTGACTTCTGTGAAAAACATTTCCCGCACTCAGGACAGGAAAACGGCTTCTCCCCCGTGTGAGACCTCTGATGTGCTGCTAGATCTGGTTTTCGTAGAAAACGTTTCCCACACTCGGGACAGGAATGCGGTTTCTCCCCCGTGTGACATCTCTGATGTTCAGAAAGATAAGACAACCGTGAAAAACATTTCCCGCACTCATTACAGGAATATGGCTTTTCCCCTGCGTGGGATCTCTCATGTCTGACAAGTGATGATTTCAATGGGAAACATTTCCCGCACTCAGCACAGGAAAAGGGCATGCTGCCTGTATGATTTATCTGATGTCTAATAAGTTGAGATTGCCACAGAAAACATTTCCCGCACTCGGAGCAGGAATAAACTTTCTCCCCCGTGTGAGATCGCTCATGTCTGACAAGAGCTGATTTTACTGAGAAACATTTCCCGCACTCAGAACAGGAAAAGGGCATATTGCCTGTGTGATTTATTTGATGTTTGATAAGTTGAGTTTGCCACAAAAAACATTTCCCGCACTCAGAGCAGGAATACGGCTTCTCCCCTGTGTGAGATCTTTGATGTCTGACAAGTGCCCATTTCCATGGGTAACATTTCCCACACACCGTACAGGAATACGGCTTCTCCCCCGTGTGAGATCTTAGATGTCTGACAAGCGCCAATTTCCGAGGATAACTTTTCCCGCACTCAGGACAGGAATGTGGCTTTTCCTGCCTGTGAGATATATGATGTTCTTCTAAATCTGATTGTCTGCCAAAACACATTCCACACGCAATACAAGTGAAAATCTGTTGAAGGTCGGCCCGGTCCTGAGGTTCCTCAGGATACAAGGAATCCGATGGTACATCTACACTGGGTGGTGCGGGATGGACATTGGAGGCAGCCGGGTTTTCTCCTGGACTATACTGTGTGATGTCCTCATCTTCTACTTTCCAGTCTGGAGACAAAGTGAGACAATCCTCGGAGGTTTTCCTCATCTTCCGGCCATGGACTAAAATACAAAGACAAAGAGGATTACTAGACAGGAGCTGATTGGTTCCCCCAAACCAGGACTCCACCCACATCTGGCAGCTTTTTCTCTGAGGAGCTTACAATTCCACCCTCAAGTGAACTGGTCTGCTGGGTCCAGTTCTCTATTCAAAGACCCATGTTAGAGAAAGGAAAACAATGAGAACTCTGTTTTAGAGGGGTGACACTGTTGGGACTGTAGCCCTGTTGGTGGCCCTTTTTAATGGGGGAGTTGCTCAGCTCACAGTTTGCATTTCCTCCTCGCAGGCTACAGCATCAGGGAAATGCAATCAGCTGCATCAGTCATGGATCTCACCTTCAAATACGTGCATTTGAGGGTTGAGCACTCCACCATCAAGTAGGGTCCCACCGCCAGCAGATTCTGTTGCAGTTTTACCCACTGACCACTGGTTAGTCATGGTGTAAAGAGAGTATTAAGGCCTCAACAGTTATTATAATTCTGTAAGGATATTTGTTGCATTAAGTGTTATTTAGTATTGCTGCTCTACTCTCCTTGTGTTCTGGCATGGTCTCTCACAGGGGGTAAAGAGAACGAACACCAACTCGAATTACTTTGTTGTGTTACTGAATCACACCGCTGGTATCAACAGCCTGCATTTACTATTGTCAGGCCTGTTAAACTATCTCTTTTTTTTTTCTGGAGCTTATTGCTACCTTTAATAAAACCCATTTTTCGCCATTGGTGTTTCGGCATATTTTTGGGTCGAATTATAGGGTGGGTCATCACTGGAAAAGATAGAAGTACCCAGAATTTTTAGCAGCTCCTGCTGGGGTATTGCTACGTGTGGGCATTGTCCAATATTTTCCTAGCTCTCTTAGAAGAACAATGACTGCTCCAGGAAGTGCGAGCCAAGTCAGCAAGATGAACCAAGTCAGCAAGATGAACCCAGTCACCGCTGCTCGGTGGTGTGAAGAACACAATGGTCAACTGGAGTTATGTGTGATGATAGAACTTGTCATTGAAAGATGGAGAGAACCAAATTCGGTGGCAGCTGCAGTCCTAGCAATTGATTGCTGAGTGTTCATGTTAGAAACATAGACAAACCTTCTTGCTTTGAGGGTCTACAGCTTAGAGGCGACACCAAATTCCAGCTAACCCAAATTAGTCAGGAGGCAAAAACTCAAGGCATCCCAGCTAGATGGCAGCCTCTTACCCTGCCTGCTGTCCCCTTGGTTCAACCCGAGCTAGGCCTCTGACCATGGCTTGTCACTGCTGAATCTGAAAGTTGACATCAGTTAGACCTTGACTACAGCTTACTTCTACTAACCTTCTGGTGTCATCTCAACTTTTCTTTTGTGCTCAACTTTGCCTCTTACCCTGCCTACTAACCTTCTGGTGTCATCTCAGCTTGTCCCTTGTACTTAACACTGCCCCTTATCCTGCCTGCTGTCTCCTTGGCTATAAACTACAGGTCTGTCTGCTGTCCCTGCCTGCTGTCCCCTTGGTTCAACTTGAGCTAGGCCTCTGACCATAGCTTGTCACTGCTGAATCCCAAGTTGACATCAGTTAGACCTTGACTACAGCTTACTTCTGCTAACCTTCTGGTGTCATCTCAACTTTTCTTTTGTGCTCAACTTTGCCTCTTACCCTGCCTGCTGTCTCCTTGGCTATAAACTACAGCCCATCCAGACCATGCTTGTGGACAACAGGGTTGCTTTTCCATTGGTCTGCACATGCATGCCATGGCCAAACGTGCCTCCAGACTCCTGGCACCTCTTCCACTCTGTGTCCTCTCATTTCCCAAGTACATGCGAAGGGTGTCTAGACCAAAGGTGTAGGAGGAAGCCATGTTATTATCTCAGTCTCAAATGGTAGATACATGATAGAGACCCACAGTCTGAGCAGTTCAATCATATCCTTGTGAACATGTTGGGGACACTCACACCGGAATAGACACATCTCAGCAGTCTTCCATGTAGAAAGCATATTGTGGCAGGGTATTTGCTTTACATGCTAATGTTTGAGAGAGAAGTTTTGTTACCAGCGGATGGGGAAACAGTTCTGAAAAGGCCATCACCGCTGTGTGCTAAGCCACTGTACCAGTGGGTGAGAACCCCTACCCTATACCTGACAGACCATGGTGGGCCAAAATATTGCTTGCTAGTTAGGTTAGAGTAACAAAGTTATGCTAGAAACAGTTACTTGGTTCCATACAGATGCTAAGATTACTAGAGGTAATTTGTAACTAAAAATTCTGTTTCTTTGGGGACCAAAGATTTTTAGTGGGGGGAATGTGTAGCTTATCCTGTTGCCCCTTTAATTTTGGGAACCTGTGCTGAATATTGAGTGCAGCATGGATAAACAGACCTCGAGTACCCTCGCTGCATATACTGCAGATATATGGAATACCCTCAAAATACTTTGTAATGACTAAATTAAGTAGGCATTACCAGATTATTACAGGTTGATATTGCTTAGGCCCTGCCCTACTCTAAGCCAATCAGTGATCAGTATGAACAGAGGAATGTATTCATTGTTAATGGCCCACCTGTGCTGATCTCTGTAGGAGTGTCCTCCTCTATAAATGTCCCCGTTATTCCAGCCTCCTCCATAGACTGCTGATCATCCCTCACATACGCCTCTTCTTCTTCTGATTTCACCTCAACTTTAATATCTATCAGATCTTCACCCTAAATCAGGAGAATGAGAGAAAACAACATCTTGGAAGGTCCATAGATCATCTCCATGAGTCACTTATCTTCTAGATGCTCTGTCCCACCTACCTGATGGTGAGGGATGGTGTGACCTTCCTGTGTGGAATCCTGAGAATACAGAGGACGGGGACATCTCTCTGGTGGGTTCCTGTAGCTGGATGGCTCCACCATGATGTTCTGGTACAGATCTTTGTGTTCTTTTGGAATCTTTGACTCCCCCATCACCCCATTCTCATCCTCCTCCTCTTTTATCTCTTCTTTAACCTCAACTTTAAAATCTCTCAGGTTTCCACTCTGAATATATAATAAAACGACATCAATGGTAACAATGCAGATAATGTACAGATCCTAATGATACTATCAGTGATTGTTCCTCATCTACCTGATGATGATGAGGGATGGTGTGACCTTCCTGTGTGGAATCCCGGGAATACAGAGGATGGGGACATCTCTCTGGTGGGTTCCTGGTATTAGGTGGCTCCATCATATCCTTGTGTCCTTCTGAAAACTCCTCCATCACTCCATACTCCTCATCCTGCTCTTTGTACTCTTCTTTAACAACAATGTTATAATTTTCGAGGTTTCTCCTCTGTACATGAAAAAACATTTATTGTAACAAACATGCTTGTTTATAAATCATAACTACCAATAATTGTCAATCATCTACCTGATGATGGTGAGGGTCACAACCTTTCTGTGTGGAATCCCGGGAATAGAGAGGACGGGGACAACTCTCTGGTGGGTTCCCATGACTGGATCCATCTACCTGATGATGGTGAGGGATGGTGTGACCTTCCTGTGTGGAATCCCAGGAATACAGAGGACGGGGACATCTCCCTGGTGGGTTCCCATGACTGGATCCACCTGTAGGAAATACACACACTGACTGAATCCATTGTTTCTATGTGTTTATCAGATGATGGGGGATCTAGGTGGAGCCTCCGTACTGCTCTCTCCTTTCCAATAAAGTCTCCTCTTACCCGGTGATGTGGGGGGCAGCTGATTGTTCATCATGACGTCCTTGTAGAGGTCCTTGTGTCCTTCTAAATACTCCCACTCCTCCATGGAGAAATAGACAGTGACACCCTGACACCTTATAGGAACCTGACACACACAATGATAGAGTCACCATCCAGATACAAGATTATCACGATACTAAGATGCTAGTTAAGATCCCTAACAGATATGGTAGAGTGCACCCTAACAGGGAATGGAGGAACCCAATTATTTAGACCATAAGCTCAGAATGATGACTTTTGTAATCCACCCAGCAATGGTGGGAAGCGAGGAACCCTTGGGAAGGATGGAATACAAACGTTCAAAAAGGACTGTAGACGAGTCTCACAATGCATACTACATCAAGACTGTGGACAGAATTTTTTCTGGGATGTTTCAGAGTAGAACATAAAGGAGGGGAAAAACTATGTCTTGGCTGAGATGGAAATAGGAAAATACCTTAAAGAGAAACCCGTTTTAGTCCTTAGGACAACCCTGTCCTTGTGTAACACTAGGAAAGGCCTTTTACGGGTTAAGGTTGCTAGGGACCCTCTGTATGGAGGCAACAGCAATGAGAAAGGCCACCTT